GCTTTCTGCTAGAGAAGGCTGGGCAAGCAGGAAGAGATGTCAAAACTAAAACAGAGGCTGATGATTTCTGGCCATTCTCCTGTGGATTGGTAAGAAAGCCCAGCCTGGGATGAAGAGAAGAAAATCAGAGAAAACCTTCTATTGATGCTGGTGCTGGGCTTAGCAGCTGCCCTTGAGCAAAAATAAACTCCCCATGGCAGTGGGACAAGATGCTGATACTGGCACCTGCCAGAGGCAGACAGTCGAAGTCGCAGCTGTGCTGGTCAAATGAGCTTGGAGACCTTAGGGGGCTGAGGCCTCGATGACGATTAGCAGGCTGCGGTTCTCTGCAGGCAGTTTATTGAAACAGGGTTTGTTTGCCTTCCCCACCCCTCTGGGCTGGGTCTCAGAATAATCAGAAGTGCAGGTGGTGCATCCGGCTGAACAACTACCCCGCATTGTCTCCAGAAAGGAGGAGAAGCTCATCAGAGAACACTGGGGCCACAGAGGGGTTCACAGTGACGATGTCGTGGACAAGACAAGAAGAGGGAGCCCTGGGGAGGGCTAGGGAGATGAACATCCTACTTGTGAATGAGCATCTTCAGGTTGGCTGGCTGCCAAGAGATGCCTCTTTATCTTCAAAAAAAAAAAGGCATCTGATGGAAGAAGAATTAATTTGGGTAGGACTAAATTTAGAGTGATTAGGATGAAGAACTGATAGGAAGGGACCCTGTGAAACACTTAGGCAATAAAGAACAAGTGTGGGGGTGGGGGCACCAATAATCAATAGAAAAGAGATTGAATCGGCCAATACCTTAAGACAACTCTCCTTGTGAAATGAAATGTCCTCCTGAACACGTGCCAGGCTGAAGGCAAGGGCAAAACCCACAGCTTTAGGGCCTCTGCAGTGAGGTATTTTTCAGAGGCACAGTTGTCACAAAGAATTCTAGACAATAGACTTAAAACAAAGGGTCACTTGAGAAGCTGTGTGGTGCAAATCAAGAGGTGTCAGACATATACATGAGATACCTATCCTAGGGATGAGAGAAAAAAAACGTAGCTTCCAAGGGTATCCACCCAAATCCCCAGCTGTTTTATTTTAGAATTTCTAAAAAGAAATTCCTTCCACTGTCATCCAGATATGAGCTCTGGCTTCCTTTCTGTACAGGAACTGCTGCTGAATTCAAGGAACTCAGGCGGTTTTGTTAGAAGAAGTTTCCTGCCCTGATCAATAACGACATCAGCTGACGGCACCATGCATTTGCCCACGACACGTGGCCTCTTGTGACACCTTGCTTTTTCTTCCTTGCTCTAAACTCTCCAAGCTCGATGCAAATGGGCCTTTCTGCCATCACTGTGCCCGGGGGGTCAGTGGTAATTCACTCCCGTCTGTTGCCACGGCTTTTTGGTCTATCTTGAAAGGATGGGTCTCACCTGGTCTCATTTGCTTTAACAAAGAACAGAAGCGAGAGCAACAAAGATCTTAGGACTATGAAACCAGGAGATCAAGACCAGCGTCATAAGAGAATTAGAAGATGCAAACCCATTTACACAGCCCTTTTCTGGCCCACGGTTTATTGATTCAAATAAGTCACGCATGTCTAACTACACAAATGCAAACTTATTTTTCCAAAAGACAGCTCCTCCAAGGCCACTATTTTCTAAATAATAACAACAGAAATACATTCATGCTGGATTCTAAGAAAATAATTTGCTAATTATATAAACTCCCACTGCTCTTACATCTCTTTTCCCAAGCACTTTACACTGACTCCAAGATGATTCTGTGCCCCCACTTTCCTAGTACAGCAAATGGAGTGTTTGCGAGTGTCTGATTTAGAGACGGGAGGCAGCTGGAAGCCACCCATCCTTGGAGTGTATGCAAGATAGGAACAGTCTCAGCACAGACCACATCAGAGGCCACAGCAGCTCTGGGGGAGTCTTGTCCTGTATTCCATGAACTCAAAGACACAATGTCTTAAGACATTTTTTTTTTTTACTACGGGATAATTGTTTAAAAAATAAATTAAATGGAAACCACACTCCTATCACACTCTGGATTCAGTTTGTTATACTCAATGAAAAATAACCTATGTCATTCTCAACTTATACTTTTTCTATTAGAGGCTTGAAAAAAAATCAGATGTGAAAAAATAAATATTCAGTTGACATTCTGAATTCCCTCTCTATATTGTGCACTTCTTCCTTTGTGTGCTCTATTAAAAAGATACTCAGACATATATTAGTCAAAGATATTCAACATCAAAGTGAAATGAATGTGCTTCTAATCATTTTGGCCATACTGCCTTTTTTCTTTCTCTCTCAAATACGTAGGGCATGACCAGACTTGACATAGGAGTTATGGTCTACATGTACATAAATTATTATTTTTGTTTTGTCAGAATCAACTACAACGAGATGCTTCCTGCAAGATGCTCAAAAGGGACTGAAGGAAAGAAATTAGTGAATCCTTTTTGCTTTGAAGCACTCCACGAGGATTTAAATCATTTGCCTGCTCCAGTCCTGGGGTAAATGATAGGGCTTCAGGATCACTTGTTAAACTGAGATCCCTTGAAAGGTAGAAACACTTGCTTGGCTGGATTTTATAAGAATCTCTCTAACGTGTTATCCCTGAACAAAATCCTTCTTCCCCCTTGTTTATTTAATCAGCAAGTTATTTTCAAATTGAGGGTTTGGTAACTCTGATATGCTTTTATCTCTGAAGAAAAATGAGATCTTTGTTGGTGATAGATGAGGCTTTTCAAAATTTAATTTATGTGTTGCATATCCATGCATTCCTCAATGAAGGCTGCCCTTGTTAGCACTGAGGACTCCCATTTCCTCTTTGGACATCTCAAGCTAATTAGAGCTGCTGTTTACTGCAGAAGTAATCAATAGCTTTCTACAGTGGATCACACAGAATCAGACCCCCATGCAATTAGTCCAGTGTAGATACACAAAGATACCTTAATTAAAACAAAATATGCTCTGTAAGAGATATGCTCTCATAGATGACTGGCATTCCAAATATTTTGACACATTTAATGTGTTTATTCAAAGGAAGAGTCTTTATGGAACTTTTCACTCATCAAATATAGTTGGGTGTTTGGTGAGTTTCTCCTGAAAACATTTTGAAGTGAAAAAGCCAGTACCGAGTATTATACATCTGTGTTTATTAACATTTGGATTTAAATGTACTTCAAACACCAATAGAGCTAAAAGACTATACCTTTATCTTGGATTTCATAGATTTCCTCCTCCCCTTCCCCCAGTAATTTGATTAATCTTACAAGGCAAACATTAGCGGGCGAAGGGGATTAGCATGAAATGTGCACCATGAGTTTCTTCCTCCAACCCCTCCTCCAATGTGGGAAGAAAGCGAACAGTCCCTGGCTCTCTGTTAAGGTACAATTTCCTCTTCTTTATCCATTTTGGAGAAACATGGCCACTCGACCATGGTAGATTCTGAATCTCGTCATCTAAACCAGACCTCAAAAGTGCACTTTAGGGTCCACTGGTCCAAGGAAGGGAACCATGGAAGGTGACATGCAGTTAACAAAGCCAGATGCCTTGTCATGGAGTCCTGTTCTGTTGTGTTCAGCTGTGCCAACCAACTCATCTCCCCACACCTAATGTTGACCCTCTCAATCCACCCACCTTCTTTCTTTTTTACATAGCTAGTCATTCTGTCATGGAGGACAAAGAACAAGATGCAAGCAGATTTTCAAGAACCTTCAGACCCACTGGGAGTAAAGACAATCCTTTGAAAAAGAACTATGTACCCTAGCATGGATCTGCTTCAAAAGAGAGGGCAGCATGTCCCTGTCCCCTGTCCTGATCACCTTTGTCAGGCAACATGAAAACCAAGGTACTAGATTGTGTCAGCTGGCAAGGGTACCATTAGATGTTGCGGAATGTTTACAAGTGGCCACCAGTTTCCTCACAGGTACGCACGCTTGCATTTCAAGAAATAATAAAAGACAACGCTTGGTTTTCCAAGCTCTCTTTGCTGCTCTTTTCTCCTGCCTGTCCACAGTAACGTGATGCAGAGCTTTCTGCTAAAGCATGAGGCTCCTCAGTGTCTGCTTTTGAAGAGCTGTATTCATGAAGTTAATATCAGAGCTAACACTACTTAGGAGAGGAAAACAAGCTCCATGTATTTTGTATTAAATCATCAGTAAAAAATGAAGACAATATCATTACTTTCAAAATATAGAAAGCCAATAGTTGAAATCATTTAGTAGGAAAATTTCTGTTCTACATATAACCTCCTAAGTGTAAAGAGTACTAGAGTGACACTTCAGCTACATTTGACTCTTGTTAGTTTAAGGGCTTCCACTCAGGTAAGGCTTAGGAGAATGTTGTTCAACGATCAAGGTACTGTGAAGCCTCCCACCTGCTTTCCCTCTCTATTCTGACTAAAAAAACAGTGGAAGTGACAGGTGGTTTTTGTTTTGCAGGCGAGTGCAGAACCGTTTCCAGTCCATAGACATTAGCCTGGAAAATGCTAGTACATATATAAAGGTGAACATCCGCACAAACTTGTTTCTGCAAAGTCCACCCTTGATGAGAACCTTTGCCTGGTGGCAAAAAAGCTTGGCATCCATGTTCGGCTGTCGTTTATGACATTAGAAATCAAAGCCATTGCAGGAGATATGGAAGATTCTTTAGAAATACTAACTCCTCTCACTAGTAAAGGCCAGAGTTAAAACTTAAACTCATCACCATCTCATCGTCATCATGAAAAACATGGCCCCAGTATGCTCTACGGCCAAATTGACAAACTGTCCCTTTAAAATACAGCATGCCCCAAAGCCTTTCATGTTTGGCATGTAGCACTGCATCAGGTTTTCCACAGAAGCCCCTAAGAATGACAAGAAACTTTCTTAAAAAAAAAAAAAATAGTTCCATCTGGATGGAACTGTTTCTCAACCGAGCTCTTAAAATTGGAATTTCAGATATACAAGAGGACAGGAAACAGATAACTTGGTTTTTGTCTTTTTACATGTCCATATTGTTTTTTAAATGCAGCTATGATGTTTCCGCCAAAGATAAAGAGACTAGGGTGGACAGAGCAGTTACCACGAGAACCAGCAGTGGGCTCAGACCGCAGCTTGCAGGAGCAGCCATGGATTTCGTGGTGATGTGGCTGGAAGGACCAGCGAGGCCGTTCTTTTCATAACCAGGCTGTAAGAGAGAATGTTTCCATTACCACCCACTGTAGGAATTCACTCTATCAGAGCACATTTTCACCACACTGTTTCTCTGCCCCACTCACACCTAGCTGACCTGCTCCCCAAAGCTGACCCAAGAGGTTCCCTCTGAGGCTTCAATTCACTGACTTGTAGTTTTATGGGAAGGAACCATGAACCTGGGTAAGCCCAGGATACTTCTGATGAACTGGCCAGTGCTTATTGCTTGATCCTCCGTTATGGATTATTAAAATTCATCTTTGGGGAAAATATTTGAGCTCAGGTATCCCCGCCATGCTTCACCTCCTCTCCCCAGGTCCCCCAGTAGCTGTGTTTCTCCTTCTGGAGACCACCGGCTGACAAGGAACACTCGCTGTCTCCCCACACCACAGAAAACTTGTCCAATCAAGTAGTGGTCCACGTAGAGATGGGTCACAAGTGGCATGAGAGATGGGCAGAGCAAGCCCTTCCTTCCATCGGCCAGTTCATCCCTAGATTCTATAGATGAGGAGTGAGAGGGAGCCAGGAGCTTGCCCTGCATGTCAATCGCAGCCCAAACCACAACCCAGGCTTCGGGACTCCCAGCCAGCACCACTGTCCTTCCCAGGATGCTCTTCTCTGTCCCCATCCCTGGTACCCGCTCAATCCCAGATGTCACATCTTCACACAATGACCTGGGACTGGCACAACAGAATTAATGATCTCTGCACCCATGATGGTGGAGAGTCACGTGGCCGCCCTATCTGCCTCTGGGTTGCTGGAGAGGTCAGAGGAACTACAGGTGAGAACACCTGCTGAGCACTGAGAGCTGTGTAGCTTCTGTGGGGCCAAATGATCAGGAGACTGTGACCACAGAGAGTCTCACACGGCACTGCACGTGGTATTAGCACTGAGGCCCAGTTCTGAAGTGAAGATCCCGGGCCCCACATTTAGTTCTCACATTGTGCTCTGGGATCCATATCTGCACCTTGCTCAAAGGGCAGATAAACATGGAAGGTGGCTTAGACGTTCTCTGGGCCTGAAATCCTATCATCTTTGTGCCCTTTACATCATATCCTGCCCCAGGGGCCCAAAGGCTGTTTCATTCTAAATGCAGGGAGACCCAAGAAGAAACATAACTTACATCAGAAAGACAGAGATGTGTACTGCCCGACACATTGGATTTCAGCTTCTGTGCCTGAGGAGAGACAAGAAACAAACCAAAAAAATCCTCAAAACATAATACGGAAGAGTAATTACTGATGATCCATTAATCAACTGTCTAGGGCAGTGCCTTCCAATGTGTGAGCCACAACTGTGAGCCTCATACATAACTTAAAATTTTCTAGTAGCCACATAATAAAGAGATAACAGGTGAAGTTAATTTTAATGATATATTTTATTTAACCCAATATATTACCATTTCAATATGTAATCAATATAAAAATTATTAACGAGATAGCTTACATTTTTTTTTTCATACTGTCTTCAAAATCTGATGTGTTTGACATGGCACATCTCAATTCAGACTTGCCCCATTTCAAAGGTTTAATAGCTACCTAAGACTAGTGCCTATTGTAGGGGCAGCACAGGACTGGATTACTAAAGAAAAAGTTTTGAAGTGATCACTCATTTATATTCCTGAATGTTAAATTTTGGAAAATGCCTCTTCCTATTTAAAAATGTTGCAATAAAAATCTCCACTTATTAGTAAGAGAGACGGGTCTTCCCAAAACTTGCTTGTGGATTTGATTATTCGTTGCTCCAGTCAACAAACACTCAGCACCTACTATTTTCCAGTGCTGGGCATGTGGTGGTGAACAGAAAGGATGTGATCCCTGAGCTCACTGCGGCTCCCCTCTAGTGACTAAACACTCATTGTCTGGGGGCTAAGGCACAAGGCAGGAACCCTTTCAGATGGATACCCTCAAGGAATCATGCAGGGTATTACAAGTCCTCAGCCCAGCAACTCTAAAAATGCTTTCAGGGCACTTATAAGAGGGCTGAGCTGCGATGGCTTTAAACTCCCTGTGTCCCCTCACCTGCAACAATTCTCTACTGGGCTTCCACCTGAGAACTTAGTTGAAGGAAAGGTTGCACTACTCAAACAATTATAATGAAAACACTTGTGATGATTACTGACCCAGTACAACCCTCTCCTTTTACAAAGGAAAAGAGAGCCCAGAGATGTTAAGTGACTTATCCAGGGTCACACAGCAATCTACTTGTAGAGTCAGGATACAGGCCAACTGTCTTCAACTCGTGAATTAAAATGTGCTCCCTCCTGCATCCCAGTGTTTCTCCCAGGCTCTACCCTCTCCCAGATCCCTACTAAGAACTTCTCCCACAGTGCCCTTCCTTGCCCCCAGCAAGAGGAGCCCTTTGGCACCAACAGACAGAGGAAGGCAACAGGATGAGCCCTGGTTAAGCATCACACCTGATCCAGGAGTATCTGGGCAACCAGTGCTGTGTGGATGGCACTGGCAAGTTCCCTGCTGCAAGACTTTTGCAACTCATTGAAGACATGCTAGGCTGAAATGATAGCATATTCACCTGAGGAGTAGTTTGTTGACCGTAATGCTACTTGGGAGGCATCATAATCTTTACCTATGTTTGCATATGCCAGCTGTGAATATGAAATAGAAACCTTTAAACATGCATCAAGAATAAGACACTGAGAAGCATCCCTGGGCTGCTGAAAGGTCACTAAATGTTATGTATAAGAAGATCAGAGGTGAAATTGGAAGAGGAATTGAACCTGACTCAAAAGCCTACTTTTAATCTATATCAATAGCAAATCTGCTCCACTGCATTGTTTCCTACAGAGAATAATGAGTCGCACTTTACGTGTTTTATTTCTGTTCAAGATTGGAATTGTGCCCAGATACCAAAATGGTCCTAAAACATCACATTCTGCCTTTTCTTTTCTAGGCCATAATCTACAAAGGACATAAACCCTTGCTAAGGGCCTTTGCATAACTAATAAGTTCACTAAATTGCACACAGAAGGCAGCGTGACTTCCAGACTGGGACACATTATACCCTCAAGTTGCTTCTGTGCTGTGATCACAGCTAAGTTGAACCTCGTGTCTGAGACCACAGCGGCCTCTAAGAGCTCTAAGGGCTGGGTAGGGCTTCTTCCTACTTTGTTCTGTATGATTAGCACCAGCAGGCAGAGTTTTGTTCATTGTATACACAATCTGCAGCACTCACTAGCTATACTTCAGGAACCTGTCGAAGAGCTAGTATAATCCCACCATTATTAAATGATTGTAGAAGGGCTTCCATCAGAGAGCCAGAAAAGGCCTCTATCTTAACAGATTTTCTTAAGTGGACCCTATCTGCACAGATACATAGATTTCTGACCCTCATTAGTCACTGAGGGTTTCACACTGCATACAGGATTTATAAGCCTTCCTCCAGGTCAATATTCATAAGTCTAAATTCCCAGGCTCTTGCCATCTATCTGGGAATGGCTGGGACAACTATTCAATCACACAGGAAAATGCACTTAGACCAGCTCCAAGTATGTGAAGTCCCTGGGCTCTTCTTTCCCCAAGGTGGGCATCCTGTTGGCGTCTATATAAAGAAATCAGTCAGTTTCAGGACTTGTTTCTCTGTAGCCACACTGGCTTGACCACAGCTGGAGGCAGCAGCCCCCAAGCTCAGCTTGCGTGGAGGACCATTCTGGTTGGCACAACTGAATGAACTGCTGCATCAATAAGAACAGGTAGCCAGGGCCCTACAGGTGTTCTGAGAAAACACTTTCTCTCCTGTTAAACACCTTCTCAACCCACAGACGCACTCAGCACTCCAGAGGCTTAGCAGTCTGCACACGCAGGCCTCCAAATACTCTGCTTACATAGTGTATTAACTCACTTGCTACACAGAGGTCTGGGTGCTCAGGAAACCACCATGACTGCAGAGGCACAGCAGAGTAGCCCTGGAGTTCTACCTACACCTAGCATGGGCCACCGGACAGTCTGTGTGTCTGATTAGAAAGGCAAATGTTACTGGTTGTTATAATGGCAGGTGGCACATGGGTGACGGAATCAAAGGATTGCACACAGATGTGAAATCTTTTTAAATCTCTCACTGAACAAGATGTAGGCCAGGGTGGGTCTGCTGCCAAGACTGGATGGGTCTATTACAAACAGAGAATCGTCAGGTTGGACGTCCAGTGCCTCTAACAGTGTGCAAACTGCAGAGGGTGGGCAGGGCCTGGGGTGTAGATCTGGGCATGTCTGGCTGGCTGCATGCTTATAAGTCCTATACTCAGCATGAACCCCTAGTGATCACTGAGGGTCTGAAACCCACCTACGCAGATGCAGAATTTACTTTATAAAATCTGGGTCTTAAAATCCACTTTAGAAGCCTGAGAAACCTGTTATTTCCACATTTTAAAGGCTTTTATCCTGAGTATTTTTGAAAACATCATCAAGCTCTCACTGTCTGCCTCATCAGGTATGATAAATGCAAACAGATAAAATTACAGGGCGTCCTCTATTCCCAGCCATCACAAAGAGAACTTACATACTTTAAATGTCGTCTCAGCTGCTGAAAATTGGGATGGGCCCAGGAAAATTAAAATTAAAAAATCTTCTGAGACTTTGTAAGTTATAAGGTAAGTTAGAAACTGGAAGATCACCTTTTATCCCTAAATTATAAACCGGTAAAGCTAAAGGTGTGATAATGGGAGTGTTGGCACAGTGCTCAAGGTTCTGTCTGTGAGCCCTGCAGCCCTGATAATTATGGGATATGCAGGGACCCAACACAGAACCTACCCGGCCCGCACCTGCCAGACACAAAACCTTACAGTTTAAAGTTTTAAAATACGGTATGTCTTTTAAAAAGAGATAAAGAAGAGAGTATATTTCATTTTTCTAAAAGTCAATTTGAACCATTATTACAATATGTTGAAAATGAACTATTTAATATCTTTTATGAAGAGTATTTCCCTAACATTTAATTCATAGTTATAATGGTTTGGGGGAAGCCACCTGACCCTGAGTTGGGAAAAACAACACCATCAAAACATAGTACCTTGAGGTTTTCATCTTGAGAAAGGGAAGATAAAAAGCACAATGGAGAAGCCTGTCTACAAACCGGTAGCCTTCCTCACGTTCTGGAAAACCGGGGAAGCCTGTTCTTTAGTCCTCTAGGCACTTCATAAGCCTCTTCCCTACAGTAGCTGTCGCTCTCCTGTTGTAAAATTGTCACTGGTGGTAATCCGCAAGTCCAGGCACGTTGCATAGTAGAATTTCCAGGGCACCATAATTGCAAGGCCAGACCTCACCAGTCCCTGGCACCAGAGGGTTAATAAATGCATTAAACGCCGTTAACCTCTGTTACCTAGAGTCAGAGTCTGACTCTCTTGCTTTTCACCCCAGTGATTAGCATTTGGAAAGCCTGCCTTGGTGCCAATGGTTTTCCTGTGCAGAACACACAGGCGCACACATAATTGTTGCTCTCAGTTGAGTCCCCACATGGGTGCTGCCCATAGTAGGCTCTCCCCGGGCTTTGGAGACAGGTCAGGCTTGTAAGCAGCGTGCTTGCTGTTTATGGAATTGGAGACTTAAAAGCGCACCCACTCGGAGCCTGGCCTTTACAGAAATGGAGTCCTGGGGCTGCAGAGAAGCCAGTGTTTAATCTCGGGTTTTTGGGCAGCTGTCAGCCAGCAGGGCATGGAACATTTCTCTGCTCTCCTCCATGCATAAGAAAAGCCAGTTTCTGCCCTACCTCCAGAAAATAAGACCGGAGGAAGTTGCCCAATCCAATAGCAACAGACTGTCCAGGCTGCAGCCAAATAGTCATAATTAATGATGCTCTGGTTCTTTTCTCTCTTGCTTTACTGATTAGAGAGATTCGCTATGTTAGGAACCTGTTTGCTTAATGACAGAATACAAGCAATAAACAGAGAAATACACAGACTGTAAAATGCAATCAACTTTGCTCTCCAGCACTCACTAAGTACCTAGCTGCATCTATCACAGTTGTCAATAGCAGTTTATTAGCATATGAGTCTTTTCTGCAACATAAATCGGACCTTTGCTGGGGAAAATGATTGCATGAGTTCTTCCTGAAATAGTCCACAAGCAAAAGTCCATTTCTCAATTTAAATCTACATATCTTGTGTTTCTTTGTAAGACAAAATATATGAAGAAGGGTGTGCATCTAATTCCAAAGGGAAACTGAGCA